TTTTGTAACTATTTTAGTAGAACTAAATTTATATGTTAATGATAACTTCTGTCTAAAACAAGATGTTAATTGTATATATAATTTGTTTAGTTTATCATAAGCGACCTGATAAAGGTATAATCGTTAGTTAGCCAATTAGCAATTAATTTTGTTTTTAAAATTATTGAATTTTTATAATATATGTCTTTAAAAGATTTTAATAAAAGTGTATTTAAATTTATTGTTTAGACAAAGCACTAAAGAAATACAGTCAGTATTTTTGTCATTAAATATTTGTTATTAGGATTTAATAATTTGTACTGTTTACTTTTAACTTGCTTTTTACTTTATAGGAAAATTGAAACTTAGACTAGGTATAAATTATTTTATAATTTTACCAATTGATAATTTATATATATATATATATAAATATATACACACACACACACACACACACACACAGAGTAGTGATAGAGCCTTAAATTTAACTCAACATTGTTAATTTATCCTAATTTAAAGATATTTTTTCAAATTACTGATTTGATTGATTTTTTTTTATGTCTTTTTTATAAAATTTTCAAGTTTTTTTTTGTTTTAGATGATTTTATGGCAGAAATGAGGAAAACAGGTAAAAATTATATTTAGATACATACATACTTTTTATTATTAACTATTATATGTTTTATAATTTTTAACATTAATTTTTTTTTTAAGTCTCATTATTAGTGTCAAACTCTGTGACAACTGGTAGGGTTATGCTTTTTATTTTTTTGCAATTATATTGTAGATTATTAAAATACAAATATTACATTTGTTTTTTTTTTGTTTGTTTTTTTTTCTATTCTACTCTTCTTCTTTTTTCCCTCTTTTTTTCAGCATCGTTCTCTGGTACTACTTCAACATGTAGGGTTATACTTTATATTTAAATAAAATACAAGTATCAACATGTTTAGTTTATATTTTTTTCATTTTTTAGCATCATCATCTGATATGACTGCAACTGGTAGGGTTATGCTTGATAATTTTATTTAAGTACAAAGATTAACATGTTCAGTTTTTATTTTACCCTACTTTTATTTTATTTTCTATTTTTTAGCAGTGACATCTGGTACTACTACAATTGGTAAGGGTATGCTTTATATTTAGATTAAAATACAAATATCAACCTGTTTGGTTTTTATTTTATTCTACTTTTTTTTTTTCTCTTTTTCTTTAGCCTCACCATCTGATACTACTACAACTGGTTGGGTTATGCTTTATATTTTTATAAAAATGCAAATATTAAGATGTTCAGTTTTTACTTTATCTAACTTTTATTTTGTTTTCCCTTTCTTTAGCATTGACATCTGGTAGTACTACTACAATTGGTAGGGTTATGCTTGATATTTTTATTAAAGTACAAAAATTAACATGCTCAGTTTTTATTTATCCTACTCTTATTTTACCCTACTTTCATTTTAATTTTTATTTCTTTAGCGCTGATATCTGGTACTACTACAATTGGTAAGGTTATGCTTTATTTTTTAATTGAAATACAAATATCGACATGTTCAGTTTTTATTTTATTTTTTCCATTTTTTTAGCATCGTCATCTGGTACTACTACAACTGGTAGGATTATGTTTTATATTTTTATGCATTTTTTTTCAAATTGCAATTTTATTCAAAATACAAATATGAACATGTTTGGTTTTTATTTTATTTTTTCCATTTCTTTAGCATCGTCATCTGGTACTACTACAGTTGGTAGGATTATGTTTTATATTTTTATGCGTTTTTTTTCAAATCGCAATTTTATTCAAAACACAAATACCAACATGTTCAGTTTTTACTTTATTCTACTTTTTTTTTCCTTCTATTTCTTTAGCATTGTCTGGCACTGCTGCAACCGGTAGAGTTATGCTTTTATCTTATTATTATTTTAAATGCAAATATCTATTTTTTTTATTATATTATTTTTTATTTCTTTAGATCTAAATTGGAGCAGCTACAGGCTTTATCGCTCCCAGCACCCAGGACCTCTTTCTGAGAGGTCCTTTAACAAATGGTGCTTTAATAATGGTATGGATGAGCCCTCATTTAAATGGAGAGCTCATCCATACAGGGGTGCTGGGAGGCACCAAGGAAAAAACAGCAACAAAAAAATTTTAAATATCTTTAATCAGTGAAGATATTTACAATTTTTTTGTTGCTGTTTTTTCCTTGGTGTTTTATTCTCAATGAAATAAATTTATAATTTTAATTTTGTTTGTTTTTATTTTTTTAGTATTTGTTTAGACTATTAATTTTTGACTAGATATTTAATTTTTGGTTCACAATATTACATGACTGTAATTGTCCCCAATATATATCATATCAGTTAAATCAGAAAAATGTACTATAGTAGATAATTAACTGTAAAAAAAAACCACATGTAAATATCTAATATTTTAAAGTTTATAATTTGTTGATTTTTACCAGATTTTATTTCTTTTCATTGTTTCGAATTCAATAGTTTAGTGTTTATAACTGCTTTTAACTTATGTTAAGCTTTAATAAATTTAATCTTCTAATTTTTATCTAATATAGATATTTTAATATGTAAAATAGATAGTCTTAATAATAAAGA